CAGAGTTCCTGTCCTCTCGTCAGGCCTGTCCGAGGCCTGCTTCGAGGTAGTAAATCTTGTTACTTCACTCGAGGTGACACCTACAACAGACTTGATGTACTAATTCATGTTAAACTGTCCTTTAGGATCATATCTAACCTATGAATTTGCTTTTTGAACTCGTTAAATGTGCACAATTCCAGTGGCATTTTTTTGTAGCAACATCAAAGTTTTACCAGTCGACCCATGATCCGGAAAAACTAGGCTCTGCTAGAACTCATAACTAGGAAACAGTCCACCTTTTGTGTTTTTTTTTCTTTCTGTATTTTAAATAGTCCTTATTGTAGATGTTTCTGCCACCTAAAGTGTTGTAGCATGGATACTGCAGTGTTTTTGGAACAAAGATTTTAGTTATAATAAACGGGTATCTGTTTAAAACATATCCGGAGCAGTAGATATGGGGTTTAGCGTCCCATTTCCACCCAAATCTGTTTCCTTTCACTTTGTATGTTCCTTTGAAATGGTCTCAGGTTTTGGGCAATCATAACCAGCTAACTTCATGTGATAATTTTAAATCTTTGCTTCGTTTGGTGTCATTACACGTGCTGTCTGATAGGCTAATACCTTTTCAGGTCCCTACGTTGCTATGTGGATTATTAAATCATTATCATAATTGATGCAGAGCTCAGTAATTAAAAACTATTTGTGATGTAATAAACAAATAAATGTCTAAAAAGGATTTTACACCATTTTGTTAGTTTCAGAACTTCAGTGTTCTTTTGTTTTATTTTCTGGATGTTGGCAAAGCTAAGAATCAGTATTTTTTATGAACAAATGACTCCTATCAGAGTAAAAACAGAATATACAAGATCTAATATAGGCTACACCTACAAAYTGTATTGTTAGAAGAAATTGAGAATATCGATTTGATTAGTGTGTGAAATAAAACTTGTATTATATTTATTCTAGCAACTGTTTGCTTCACGATCAACTGGACTCTTGTTCCTTCACTCTAAATAAGAAGTTACGTGTGGGCTGACATTTCTTGACGAAATTTGCAAATTCTTGGAAAAATGTTTTAAATGCATTTGTCTACGCATAATAAATTAATTGAAAAGGGTTCCGTTGAAACTATGACATTGTCTTAGCCTTGCTTTGTGCATCGATGTGCCGTCTCCATGGCATGTTTCAACTTATCAAACTACTAAAGTATCCAATTGGTCACTTCGTTGGCTGACCCAGACCTGGGAAGGGAAAGAATCGTACCAAAGTCGCAGAGAAATGAAGGACAATTGTTTTTACCGTGTTTTGTTCAGACTCAGCCCACTTGCACACGAGTTGCTCAAAGAGTCGACTACTCTTAAAAAGAGTTTCTTTTTGTTGTTGGACTTTGAATGAGTGGCAAATTWAAAAAAAAGTACAAACATTTTTTAGAAAAGCAATGTTGTGCTCTTGTGAGTTCAAACTGTCTTCAATGATTGTATATCTTATTTATTGTATGTGTGTACATACATTGCAGTGCGGTGTTACCGGAGCCGATGGTGCATTCTGAGGTAGAAAAGGAACTCTTCTGCAGTGTCTTGTCAAAAGGTTACTAGATGTTTGTCACAGCCTTGTGCACTGAACTCTACCTCTCCATAGTGTTTTTTCTCCTTTGTTTCTTAATTTTCTTCCTCTCTACTACAATAACTTTTGTGTTTTGAAAAGTTCAACTTCGATCATAATGATTTCCCGTACTAACAGTCGACTGCTGTAGCTGTGAACCTTTGTGAACATTTTGAACAAGTTGTATTTTATTATAGTGTCTTGTTTGTGTGTTTGTGTTATGTTTTTATTCTTCTCAGTTTGCCAAAATTGTTTTGCTCGGTATGTTTTATGAGTTCCACGTTACCATTTCTCTTCTTAAGCAAACAAGAATTAAAATGTCAATCTTGCAATAAATTGATGGTGTCTTTTTCTTTTGTTTGTTGTCAAATCAATAGTTTTCCTTTTGTTTCTCTACAGTATATTGAGATGCCTAAAAATAACACACACATCACACCACCTCTTTAGGTTTTGGATCCAGTGTACAGTGTTTGCCACAAATTTATGGCTCAGTTTTAAAAACTTGATGGCAGTTTTGGAAACAACACATTGGTCAAAACCACCGTATCAGTGACCGAACAATAAATTATTTATGTGTTACACTATGCTAATGCTCTGTACTGCCRTGGTACTGTGGCATACTTGCTTGGATTTATAATAGACATCGCCACTTGTCATCTTCATTATCAGTCAGTATCAGTCAGGTTAGAGCTGTGTGTTTGTATTCCTGGCTCATAAATAAATACAGCATTCGTACTGTATGTGGGTTGCTGTTGGAATAAATGTGGCACTGAAAGCACCAACAACACATACAGTACAAAGCATTTTTTTCCTTTTTCCTTTTCTTTTCTGTATACCTGGATAAAACCAACATTTTCATCTTTTCATTCCAGAGATCTGAAAGAAAACTGATGTTTGAGTTGCTGTTGTGGGTTTGGACTTTAGTTGATGATGAGGAGAATTGAAGATGAAACTGTCAGAGATTTGCATGAGTTGACCAACTAACCCGAAAAGAAAAACCTGAACAGTGGTTATCAACCCTGGTCTTCAAGGAAAATTATCCTGCATGTTTTAGTTGTTTCCCTGCATTTCAGCAGACCTTCAGATTCTTCAGAAACTTGTTAATCACTCATTCAAATCAGGTATGTCAAAGCAGGAACACGTGATATGCAGGATAGTGTTCCTTGAAGGGTTGGGAACCACCAAACTATAAGACGGTGGTCACGATATCTAAACACTTACAGAACACTGCAGTTTGACTTTTATTGAAGAACAGCAAGATATTCTGCATCACCATCACTCATATGAACAAAACACACAAACAATAACAGTTAAAACTACAGAAATGTAGTATGTAACGTTCTTACAGTGTATTTTCCCCACCCCAACTCAGTACCAATGCAGTATACATAAAAGTAACAAATTAACATAGGTCATAAGACTTAGCCTTTTACAATTTGCTTTATTTCGCCATATTTTAGGTCTAGAAAAACAATAATTGTGCACCAACAACAAAATACTGTGTACAATGTGACTGTTATTTATCAACAGGTCATGTTACTCCAACGACCTAATAAACACTACATCTGTTAGAGAACCTGTAGCTATATTAGTGCCATTCACATATCACAATAACAGCAATAATTCATTATGTACTATATCGTTAGATTGATGTAATAGGGTTTCTTCTCCCAGAAAGGAGATTTTTTTGTTTTCTACAAAGGCCTCGCAGAAAATYGTAGCACTGAGATTATACTTTTCTAAATTGTCACTATGGGACACATTTAATCCTTGGCCCTCATTTGCATTTCAATGGCTTCCTTTGACAATTGCCTTTCAAGGCTATTCGGTGCCCACGAAAAGATATACTTTGAGTTTTTGTGAAAGTATTTGTCAAACATTTCCCTTCAATTAGACCTGCAAACATGGCATGATGAGCAAAACAAAATTACAACCTGGCTGTTTGTTTAGGCTTCATTCATGATCCAAAAAATAATTAGCGTGGTGTCGATCCTAAAATATTTGCTGTATTTTTGTCAAAAGTCTTCAGTGGTTGCTTCACCCAGAATCCCATAAGAGCACCACCGTGTCTTTGTTGTAGTTCTGTTCATGTTTTACCTTCCATGATCTATCCCAGAGGAGTTCAATCCTGGTCCTTGAGTAGCAGTGGTCTACATGTTCTAAAGGTTTCTCTGATTAATGGGTTTCTGCAGAACATGAAAAGGTAATCCAATGTGTGTGTTGGAACAAGGAAAGTAAAAGATGCAGGATAGCTGCTCTTGAGGAACAGGATTACCCCAGTTAGTCACATTATGGGGGGCTCGCTAAGTTTTTAATACACACCCGAAGACCTGATCAAGACCCTTAAAAGACCACCCACATTCTGAACTTTGTGCATATCAGTGCCATTGTTTATGAAGAAGGATCTTAATATCTGATGGATTTTAATTTTATCATAACAAGACATATTTGATTGTTTTAATTGTGTTTGGAACACAATCTAGATTCATTTTTTGAATATTGACATCTATTATCCAGTCTAAGGAAGCATTAACTCCTATTTTCAGTTCCCAGATGATTTTGTCAGCCTCAGTTTGTTTGGAAATGGCTAGACAGACGGACAGTAACAGTTGCTTTTCTAAGATCAGCACCGCTGTCCTTCCTCTTTGACATTGTGTCAACACACATCTGAATATTCGAAACTGCCACGCTGACAAACATGTCACGCTTTGTGGCTCATCCAAGATGGCATGTACTGTGCCTATACTGTATTTTAAAGACCATTTAGGGTCCTCAGGATTTCACTTTTTGCCCTGAGACATAAAATCCTTAGGATTTAAAGACAACTTTAACTGTAAATGTTCTTTGTTGGACCAGTTTGTATAATTCAGAATGGAAATCTTGATGCTCATTGATCGGTGATCTTCTACTGCTGAGGCCTTTTTTGTGTTTGTGATCAGATTTGTTAAAAAGTTAATGCATTTCCTAAAAAAGTGAACCTACTATTAAATTTAGAATGATTTTTGTTTTAACTGTGTTTACTGAACTAAACTAAACTTCTTTTATCACGTCTACCCAGACTACAGGATTCTGCGGTAAATCCCCCTTTCTCACCATAAAACTCCCATCACCTGTAGGGAAATAGTGAGTTTCAGTCTTTATGAGTCTACATGTTATGGTAGCTCATTGTTGGTGTGTGTGATTAGGAAGTGGTCAGTGTGAACATGCTTGCCATTTGCGCTTAAGGACTTTAATGCAGCGATTTAGAATGAGTAAGCATGAAGGCTTGTTCCTATGCAGGGAGGACGACTAGCAGCACAAAAATATCTTTGCAATGCCAGGAGGCTGCATGCTTCTGGAAATGTGTTAAGAATAGACCCACAATAGGACACGCTCCTGTCTTCTGTTGTCTGGGGGCAGACAGTTGTCTGCAGGGGACAGAAAGAAGAGGTAACTCCGGATGTTTGCACGGTTTACTTTGTTCAGACTATTTGGGTTGATTGGAGCTTTTCAGAATGGATTTTAACCTCCAAGACCTTGCTCCGTTCAGGAATGTGTCTCTCTGCTGACCACCTGGAGAATGGTAGCCACCATGACCCTCGGTAATAGGAGTAGATGTAAAAAGGCTATRAAGTGAGGGATTTTATCCATTTGGCCGACAACCGAGCAGGACGGGGAGATTTCTGAAGACCTTGGGCGAAGCAAACATGGTTGGATCAGGTGCCTCAGGCTTCATCTTTATCTCCATCAATCACAGCATCCCTTTGATGGGTGAGTTGATTTTAGTAGATGATAAATTTGCACAAAATTAAAAATACTAGCATAAATTAAAGAAAAAAATCTAAATGTTTTATTTCAAAGGTCTCAAAGTGGAATTCATTGTAATAAGTGTTTGTTTTTGAACAGGAAAAGTGTGGCTCGTCGTGATGGTCTTCGTCCGTATCCTGGTCCTCCTCTTSGCCGGTTACCCTCTCTACCAGGACGAGCAGGACCGATTTGTCTGTAACACGATTCAGCCCGGCTGCGCCAACATGTGCTACGATCATTTCTCTCCCGTCTCGCTCTTTCGTTTCTGGCTGGTGCAGCTCATCTCTCTGAGCCTCCCCTTCATCATCTTTGTCGTCTACGTGGTCCACGAGGTGACAAATACCCTCTCGGTGGCCCTGAGCGCCACCGGCCAAGCCAAAGCTTTTCAGCTGTTTAACGAGTCGAGCTTGAACAAGGTGCCTCTGGTGATTGAGCAGCGAGCCGGGGCACGGTGCTTCATGGGAGCTTACTTCCTTCACCTGCTGTTCAGGACTCTGCTGGAGGCAGGGTTCGGGGCAGCTCACTACTATCTGTTTGGTTTCCACGTCCCCACGAGGTTTCTGTGCCAGCAGGCTCCGTGCACCACCCAGGTGGACTGCTACATCTCCAGGCCCACGGAGAAAACCGTGATGCTCAACTTCATGCTCGCCGTGGCCACGCTCTCGTTTTTCCTCAATGCTGTGGATCTCATTTGCGCCATCAAACGCTTTGTGAGGCAGAAGACCAGCAGGAAGATGATGGTGGAGAAGATGCTTGAAGAGGAGCGGTGTTTCCTGTCAGCTGAGGTGGCCTCAGCAGGGACAGATCCAAACACGGGACTTGCTCAACGAGATCCTGATGCGCAGCCTGGGAAAACTGGGAGCTTCAGGAAGAGGCGCGGCAGCAGGGATTCTTGTGGAGGAGGGAAACTTTGCTCTGGTCAGGAGGTGCCCACCCTGAAGAACCCGTGCTCTGTAGGAACTCCGTACTGCAGCAACAAAAACGACGACTACCCTCAAGAGGATGTCCTGGAGAGGAATGGTAGTGAGGTGGCTCTCTGCCCCCAGGAGCAACTAGGGACTCCAAAATCAGTTCGAATTAGCAAACGCAGCAGACTAAAACCTCCGCCTCCACCCAGACGAGAAGCTGGATTATCCTCTGCAGAGGCAGGAGMTCAAGTGGGGAGTATTTCCACGTCCACAGCAGTGTGTACCAGGAGGGTGGGTCAGTGTGTGCTGCTGGAGCTGGGCGTTGCTCCTGAGCAGGGTAATGAAGACGGGCAGGAGAAAAGATCAGAGTGGGTGTGAGTTAAAGTTTGTTTCGCTTTATTCCCAGATTATTTTAATATGGAGGAATTATCAAGTAAATGTGAGATTTTTACAAGCTTGTAAGGTGCTATCGGATGGCAGGGGACCATTTAGGTTGTATTGTTTTTTATATTATCAGTACTATTGTGGCTATTTGAAGTCTGTACATACTTAGCACAAAAAGTTTAGTTTAGTTTAATATTCATTTCGATTAAAAACAAAATTTTCAATACAACAAAAAAAGAAACACAAATCTCATAACATGAAAGGAAGCTGAAGAAAAAATCTTATAACATCTGCCCCATTTAACAAAAAATAACAAAAATTTAAATATACAGATTTATGTGTACA